CCTGGGAGGTCATTTTCACCACAATAAGTTCAGGGACGACTTGCATAGCCTAAGATCCTACTCACACGCCGGGATGGGGCGTACACCAACGTCCAGCTTCTCATGTACGCTCCACCATGGGTTGCTACCCCACTTACGCTCCCGAGTAGACCTATCTGCCGAAAGTTTGGCCAACAATTCCTTACTGCTTTATACTCGCCTCTCTCCAATCGAAAACAATGCATTGTGCGTGCCGCACATCTAGCTCCGCAGTTTTTACGTGGTTGGTCCGGTCGTTCAGCTTGCTGGACGTGAGTAACAAGGTTTGCTTTGATGGCTCTATGTTTTATCGATCCACTTCAAGCAACGAACACCCCACCCCCCTCCTTGGCACAGGGGGTGCGGAAAAAAAAGTCGGGATTCAAGGGATATAATTGATTGTCGCACAGCTATCGTTCACTTCGCACAGGGGTGTGCGGAGACCCCGATACCTTCGGCAAGGTTGGGTGATATCATGGTTTTCAGCTTGTGTCGCGGGCCGCTATGTACCAAGGTACATAGCTTGTATCACGGGCTCCACTGCTGTAGTTTGGCATCGTAACGTTGCTCATGTGCATGTGATGTTGTTGAACATTGACATGTTTGTCGGGATCGGCCAAAACGGTTTTTATTCAATCAACCAAGAGCGCGTACAAACCACATGAGACCACACGACCACAACCAACTACGGTACTACGAAAAAAGTACAGACTCCGCGCTCGCACCCTCTCACATCGTAGCCAACGTGGTGCTTGTGTGTGGTGTGTGTGTGAGCACACACCTCTGTGTTGGGGAACTTCAACGTAGTTCGCCGCCTCGCCGCCTCGGTTTTACTTCACTGCATGTTTGTGTGTTTTGGGGTGTTGGCGTGCTCTTGTGTCTGGGTTCGTTACGTTGTGGTCCTAATGCTGCAATACCTGCACACGCACACGAAGTGCTGGTGTCTCTGCTGTGATTTGTTCAGGATCGCACACATCGGAGTGTTGGCGCGGGAGTGCGTTCAAAACACCCCAGTCGCCACTCTGTACTTATTCAGAATCGCACGGATCGCAGTCATCGCAAAGGGGTGTGCGTTATATTTTCAGGACCAAATATTTGTGTCATGTCCCGCACAGGAATCGGGTACATGGCAGGTATCGGCGTCTTGGCACCCCTGTGCGATAGAAAAACAGAGACAAAAAAAACGTTGGAAAATTCCCCGGCTCTCTAGCTGCTGCTGCTGATTGTTTGAACAGGACGCTTCCGCCACCGCTTTAGATAACAGCAACAGCAGCAGCAGCAAAGGCGACACACCCTCTCGCCCACAATGAGTGTAGAGAGGTGCACAGCACAGCAGTGGTACGACATCGTCTAGGAACGAGCGTGATGTTTTACTGGTCCCGTGCTGTGATGTATGTGTGCCTCTCTCCAGAGCAGCAGAGTCAGAGGCCGCTCCCTCCCGCCGCGTCGCAACACGATAACAACAACCAACCGATGGACCCACAGAGACCCAATCAATATCTCTCCTCTCGCTTCCTCCGCCGAAAGCTAGCAGCAGCAGTAGTATATATAAATTTTAAAAGACGATCGCACAGTGTGCCATCGCACTGTGTGCCAAGACCCGCATCCTTCCGGTATCCGTCGATTGACTTTTACCAGAATCGGTACACCTTCGTATATGGCGTCAGCTGCAGGATAGTGGTTCGAATGTCCTTGGATGCACATTTTTTCTCCTGACTTGGACATTTTCCCATGGACACAAATGTGTGTCAGCCCTGAGATCACCGTGTTTGAGTCGATCCTACAAAGAACCTTGTTACATTTCCATCGAAATACCCGTCCTGGCCACAAGAGGTTCCCCGTTGAGGGTAAGATTTGTGCGTGGAGAGTGTAAAGGAGGACCCGATTCGCAGGGTATCTGCGATTGACTTTTACCAGAATCGGTACACCTTTGCATTATCCTCTGTGTGCCTCAAACGTGGACGCTACTGACGTCCGTGCCTATTTTTATGCTATCGAGGTACTGCTGGTGGTAGTTGTCTATGCTAATGGCTTTCTTGCATAATATTGAACCGAACCTGCAAGTCAAGTTCTCAGCTACATATCGCTACATCGTTTGTACACTACCGCCTACCTGATATTGATGCTACCGCTGCTGCTGTGACTGCCTGCTGTATCCTCGGTCAGATCTTGGCCAAGGTTCAGGCAAAGCAAGGAAATGGTGTGTCCCTTGGGGCAACAACTCTAGAAAAGGCAAAGACGCGGCGAAGGCTAGGGCGCAGAAGCAGGCCCACATCACTCGAAAATTGAAAGTCGTCCCCGGTGCGGCGGACATGGATGTGGAAGAATCTGAATGCTTCAGAGTCATGAGGTGAGTTGGATGGGAGACAAGACACACAACACGTGTCGCGTGTTGGCGAGTAGTACCCCGTGAGGATAGTCGAAGTCGGCGGGGTGTAATTAACACGCCTGGCTGACGTTAAAGCTGACGATGCTGTTCCATGTCTCCACTCGCTTGCCCGCTACCGCCGGTTCACCTTCCATGGCCAAACACGCGATCTGCGTAGCTTCAATATGTTGGCGCAGCAACTGGCAACCTCGAAGATGTTCACGTACGTGCCCAGGAACCAGCTCAGAAAGCACAACCGGTGGCCTAGGGTGAGAGCTTGTTCTTGTGGGTGGACAGGTTGGCATTTGAGCGCCTTGTCTTGTAAGCGACGGCTCTAGTCGAGCCTGAGGGATGAGGAAGCAGGCGGCCTGGCGACTAGTCGCTCGCTGATGTAGCTGAGCAGCCGTGGCTCTCCAGAAGGATGCCGTCGGTGAACCTGCCATGGCCAAACAAAAAGAAAGGGGTAGCGTAACATTTGGTCATAGCATTGTTTTTTTTGTGTCATTCTAACGTGCCAGGTGCGGGCCGAAGTTTCACGGTATGGCGCGGACATCATCTGCCTGCAAGAGTGCGATCTTTACGACCAAATTCTGGCGAGCTTACAAGAACATGGGGAGCAGGCGGATCAGGTGTGTACTGCTGCGTTGTGTGTGTTTGTTCGACCGTGCTGTAGTTGGGAGATAATGACAATATTGAGTGTTTCGAAACACAACGAACGGCTGAAGAAGTGATTTCTGGTATCACGTCGGGGGAAACTCGACCGCGTGTGCGCATGCGTACCAAAACGACGACGGTACGCACGCGACAGAGTCGCCGGGCACGTGACGTGAGACCTGTGGCTGTAACTTCCTACAGCAGCGTCTGTTGTATCCATGTGTGCATTTGTCTGTTTGTTCGTCGTCGTTGGGCAGACTTGCGGTACTTCACCTGGCATTTCCGGCACAATGGTTCCCAGCTCGCGGCCTAGCAATTCACTAAAAACAGTCAGTATCCCGTGATCGCCCCCGCTCTTGGTGCCCACGATGCATTCACCCGGGACGCGCGGCTGCAGGGAACAAGGTTCGAAGGCGTGTACAAGAGGCGTAAGGATAACGGGCTAAGCCACGGCGTCGCAATCCTGTACGACACCCAGGTCAGGCTCGTGCCGATAGCCCTAGCCTTTTTTCTGCAACTTTAGCCCTTGCTGGTATTCGTTCGGGGGATGCAAGTTGGTCTTATGTTTGGCCTTCTTTTTCTTGCCGCCTGTCCGACAGGAGGCTGGTAAGTTCAGGCCTTCGGCCGGGGTGATGACACCACCATTGTCGCGTGGATATGTAAGGGGGATCAAGGTTAAAGACCCCAACCCCGGCTGACATTTTTCTCGATAACAACGACGCCAACAGGATCTTCCGTATGCATGCAACAATAAAGAATGATGCGATAGCGCAACACCTCCACGGTTGCAGGGGGGGTAGCGAGCCACTGAAGTTGTCGAACTCGCGCCCAGCAAAGGACGGACAATACGGTATTCATGTTAGCATACGAACCTTGGTCGATAATCTCGACCGTCTTTATTCTGAAGTCTATTCCGCACCAACAGCAGAACACAAAGCAAGAACGAGGTGGCAACCATCCGGAGCGTGAATATCTTCCACCATTACCGCCAATACCCGACTCTACCGCCACTTTGTAGGTGTTCCGATTGCTTGATTCGGGCTCGTGCGAGTATGGAGAGAACCTAATGGGGGGAGTAGGAGCATTTGCGCTTTTGGAAGACCGCAGACAACATCGACGACGAAGACACCCTACTCGTGGCGGCCTTCCCGACAACGATGAAACTGTCGAGGCGGTAGGGGTAGCAGATGGAGGTAGGGGCAGTGGATCAACGAGAAACTGTCCTCGTGATGAGCAAGGAAGGTGTGGGGGCGGGAGCGAGGCAGCAGAAGGAGGAGGGGGGGGAGCAGCGGCAACAGCTACGAAAGACGATCCTTCTGGGCTGGTCTGCGTGGCAACCACCCACCTCTACTGGCACCCGGACGGGTGAGGCTTGAAACCCCCGTTCGTGGATCTGCCTCCTTCATGGTGCTATTGCAGCATGACTTCGAAGCGCCAGAAGAGAAAGCAGGGTAGAGAACTCCGACTACGTGTAGGCGAGAACATTCAGTCTCGACATTCGTGTAAATCTCAAGGGGGACTTGGTTCGAGCTAGTTGAAAGTGGTGTCGACGTGGGAGGCACAATGGATTCGTTGAGCTTTAACGTCTCTTGAGTCTCGATGAATTTCAATAGGCACCTTTCCCACGGTTTTGCCACAAGGAGTCCAACGACCGAACGTGGTGTTGTGCATGCCCGAACTTTATTATTGCTTGTATCAAGATTTCGTTGCTGATGAATCTGTTCCACCGGGTCCTGTTATCGAAGTGGGTCAGGGAAAGTCTCGCGGTCGCTGGCACAGGCCAAACAAAACAATACGTCACCCCCCTGTGCTGCGATTCAAATATTGCACCACCGCGTAGTCGTTTTGCACGTTGGACAGCGAAAGCCGGGGGTCCTTTTCTTCTCGCCACCTTTCCCTCCAAACGCAAAGAGACAAGACTCCGCGGTTTCAAGCAAATTCACGAACCTGAACCGTACGATCACCAAACAAAACAGAGTGGTTGAACGTGACGCATGCTTTGTTGTTGTACTCATCGAAACCCGTCTATAGATCTCCTTCCGCCATTGGTCTGCTCTTTTTGCGGTGGAACGAGGACCATTCCGTGCTCTCGCTTGAATCCGCGTGTCATACCACATGACATCCCGTGCTGCGCGTGCCAAACCTTCCCGCGTGTGTGCCAGAGGAGCCATACGCCTCGCTCAGGCGGAAACCCTCATGGCGCACGCGGCGGCTTTCCTTCGTGAGCGTTTCGGGGACGACTACACCAAGGTCCCGGTCGTACTCGCGGGAGACTTGAACACCGTACCCGGTGTGGACGTCTACAGGTGCCGGTAGTGCGATTAAACATAGGATATGTCAAGCCCTTCTTGCCGCTTGTCGCTGGGCGTGGGAAATGCGTGAGCTCTTGTAGTGACGTTTGCGGTGCATGCTCCTCCGTGTCTCTGCGGTGGCATCCCCCCCCCCGGAGGTACGTCTGGACGCGTCCTCCCGAGAGTGATTTCGAACCACACCAGCCCAGCACGCTCTGCATGATACGTACCACGTCTGTTGGCTGTCTCGTGCAGCACAGGCTACTCTCGGAAGGGGTTTTCAAGGGCGAGACACCAGAGGCGTTTCACCGGAGAAGATACGAAAAGGCCCGCGCTAAGGAAGCCGATAAGGTCGAAAAGGCTCGCAAATACAACGCCAAGCTGGAGGCGATCCGCGCCAAAAACGCCGCCGTGATCTCCGCGTCGAGGAGCAGCACGTCCCCCGGTGCGTTGCGCGAGGTTGTCCACGATACAGGGGAAGCAGCAGAAGCGGCAGATGGAACCGTCGAAGAGGTTGCATCAGTGGAAGCAGCGCAAGGACTGGGAAGAACCCCTGTTTCGATGAGCCGGGCTATGGAAGGAGGTGACTCGGTGACACAAGGACGTCCCGCCGATTCTGCGGGTCTTCCTGTGACGGTGTCTGATGATGTGTCGGATGATGTGTCGGATGATGTGTCTTATGATGTGTCTTATGATGTGTCTGATGATGACACCGCTGTTGCTGCCAGTTCAAGTGCTACAGCTAGTGGCGAGTTCACTCCGGCTTCACACGAGAGAGGAGGGGGGCGAGATCAGGACGGGGACGTGCGGTGCTACGAGCAAGCGTTCCGTGGGTTCAGCAGTGCCTACGGCGCCTACTCCAGTGTCTTCCACTCGCAGGTTGCGTTGCCTCCTGAAATTTTCCCACGCCGTCGAGAGCGCACTTGTTGAATTCAACTCGCACTTTTTCCCTCCCCGCACCTAGCCACGTCTTTTGACAAGTTCATGCTGTCATTTTCAATCCTTTGCGGCGAGTTTGTTTCTTCTCTTAGTTTTACCCACCCTTTGAAAATCAATGCCGAGGTCAACTCCCTCTGCTTCCCAGCCATATATTGTTTAGGATAGCTCATGTTCCGCCTCGAACAGGTTCATGGTTAGTGCCAAACTGGCAAGGTAACACAACCCCCCCAACCGTTGTTCTGATTTTCCCTCCCTTGTCAGTTATCCAGAAATCACCCTCCTGGAGAGTATTCTGTCAACGAGGCCACAGGAAAACACAAAATTGGGATCGTTCGCCTAGGGGCCCGGACCGGCGGTGGCGGCGGTCTATCGCAGAATCAAGAGTCAGTGCCACCAAAAAAGTTGCAGCAGCAGCCCAAGCAACAGCGGCAGCAAAAGCAGCAGGGAAACGGGCCGTCCGGAGAGCCGCAGTTGACTACGTGCACTGATAGGTGAGATTGGTACTGCAAGCGCGATTCTGTCTGTTCATCTGGTTGTTGCGACTCCCGTGCTACCGTACGGCTGCCGGTTATCTTCCCCCCCCTAGCAGGACTTCATGCCTCGGTTGATGCGACCGATATGTTCGAGGAAACGCCCTCCATGGATGTCTAGTCAGCATATCCCTATTCGACAGCGACACCCTCTTGGGTTGTGGAGCAATAGAGCTACGTTTGACGTCCGCGGGCGTGCGACCACTCGCACGTTTGCGGTATTCTCCGGAATACCATCAGGGGATGTGCTGTTGTAGATTCCTTCGATCTCTTCCGGGTCTCGTTGAGGAGGGTCGTCAGCAAGGATAACGTGTAGTCGTTCTCGCGTATGCGTTTCGTTTTTGTTGCTTCTGCGAAAGCCATGCTGATGTGTGTTCCATCACCTGCTCCTTTGTGGCTGTGCTCAGACTAACACCGCTCTGACGTACGTCCATCACGTACTCCTCTGCACGCTTCGAGGTAAACACGCATACTTAACCCGAGCCCAAAAGAACACTCAATCCCATGATGATGAGACCCACAACGATTCCCACCACTCGCGGAAGTAAATTATGGAGAACTCTTTCCTTTCCGGTCCTGTGCTGTTTTCTGTGCGTGCAGCTTCGCGGGGACGATCGACTACATCTGGCACAACCAGCAGCTGCAAGTTAGATCCCTGCTGAGTCTCCCTTCTTTCAAGCAGGTATGTTTTCGGTGAGCTCGTGAGTTTCGATTCGGTTCGTGATTTAGAACTGTGACTGTTGTCATCCAACATATGCTGGACATGAAACCGTGCCTTGGGGACGGCAGGCGGTCATGCAGTTATGTTTCGTCACATCAACCGTCGGCAGCGCATGCCTTACTTAGTTTCTTAGGGAGGATTGAGCCTTCCCCTTCCCTTGTCGACCACGACTTTTGTTGTCATGATCCCACGAAACGATCATTCCGCAGGCAACCTACGGCAAGGGCTTGCCGACAGCTTCCTACCCATCTGACCACGTGTCCATCATGGCCGAGATTTTCTGGCGACATCCAGCACAATCTCGGGGTGAGGATGCACCCGCAGAGCCTCAGTGACAGAAGTACGCTCTAGCAAGGGTCATCTCGTGAGGGCATCCTGACTGATTTTTGTTGCCGAAAACCGTGGGTGTCCGGTGTGTGTCTAGATGTCTAAGACAGATAGAAGTATGTTGAACCATTTCTTTGTAACGTCACAGGCAACTAGGGATCGAGCGTCGGCGGAACTTTCTTTGAATTGAACGGGTGTCGGTGGGTTGGCACCTGTCCGTATTTATTTTTCTTGCCGCGTGCGTGGGGCGTCCAAAGGGTATTCGGATCGTCCCACGGTTGTTGGCTCTGGTGTTTTGGCACTGTATTAATACAGGCAATGGGTTGGGGGCTTGGGGAGAGTGGGAATGTGGGGCACCTATCCCTACCGGAAGTAACGGTCGATGGTGTAAGGAGAGGCAGCACCCTTAGATTTATACCTGCTGCTCGGTTGTTGTGGAAGGAAAGACGACACACGCTAAGCGCTCTCTAAAAAATATACAAGGGACAAGGATTTGAAAACACCTCCATAATTCTTGTTTCATGCCTCATGCACCAGCTCTCGATGGCCTTTAGCAAGATTTGTTGGTCTTGGTTTACCGGGTGTGCAAGATTAGCTGCAACCAAGCAAGGAGTGAATGGGATACATGCCTTACAGTGTGCTTTCCTGTGCCTGCAGAAAACTCGTCGTTTGTTCCCATTGGATGTCAAGTACTCTTCCCATGCCCCCCAAACAATCTTCGCTTGGTTGCGCCAAGTCTCGCGCTCTCTGCATCTCGCTACCTTGAACGTGCGAGTGATCTCATATCCGCTACGCTGACCTCCAAAGGTCGATTGCTTCACAACCAAGAATATGCGCAACCCGCCGATGCGTGCAAACAGAATTCCGACAGGACCTTCCGAACGCCACCATTTTCGGCATTCGCAGTCACATTGGTGTGGAGCACTCGAGGTATGAAAGCGGGTCTACATAGGGGGTGGGCGATCACTCGCACATGTACTGTCTTCGAGGCAACCGCCAGCGGTGCGTAGTAGCCATCAGCAAACAAACAGACGAGAAATAATAATAAACTCGCTCAGCCTCACAGCAGTGCTGGCACATGACTACCTCGGCATTTGTGGCCATCCGGGACACTGGGAGTAACGTCTTGCCCATTACCTCCGAGGCTACATTGCCGACACTGTGCCCTAGTTCTTGAGACGATACGCTCAAGAATGGACTGTCTGAAGAGCGCTATTTCAGTCTAGGCTGGTGTCAAGCCGTCCTTGTCATATTTTTTCTCCAGTTGTTGACCACACGCCGAACTAGCCTATCGCGTCCACTCTGCCGCACTTCGCGGGTTACCCAAAATGTACATGTGACCATGAGAGACAATGAAGGTCGGCTAAGCCATGTGTGCAAGAAGCCCGCCGCGCACGCGCGTGCCAAACAACATTCGTCTAATCTTAACTTTCACATTTGCAACGCCAAAAGAACTGCGGGCCAAGTGGGGCTTGAAAAAACAGGCGGGATGTGAAACACCACTAACCCTGAACCCGTTGAAAAGCTGGCCCGATGCATCCATCCGCTGAAGGCAATCAGTTGCAGCATATCGAGTCGGATAGCTTCATCAAGTCGACCTATCTCGCAGTCTCGAACAATGCTTCGTAAATAAGTCCAATCCAGCAACTTTAAAACTCACGGCAATTTTAGGCGAAACACTTCATCACAAGCACATACCTTGTGCGGGGCAACATCCATGACCCCTACCCTATAAACGCCCCGAGGTCTAGCTACAATGTGAGAGTTGAACACCCGCAACATGTTTCGGGCAAAGCGCGCCCTTTCTCACTTGCCAAAATTCCAATCACTCAATCGTTCCGTTCGGACCGACCCCAGACGAGAGGACCTTTCGAAACTCCCCGCAAGGTTTGGCCCCTCGTGGCCATCTGGAACATATTGCGATGCGGCAGAACTAACCACGCTCAGCCTGCGTCTCCGAAGCCTCGTTGGATAACTCTCGCAAGCCCTCTGCTAGGCTTCGAATAGCAGGAAGACATTGCTCCTCCGGAAGGGATCCGTAAGATACCCTGATGTGTCCTGGAGCACCGAATGCCCTAAAAAAAAGCAAAATAGAGCCCACGGAGGACACGACGTGTGGTATTGTGTCGATGTTAGAGGAGAATCGATGGAAGGGGGGAAGAGTTAGCGGACCCGGCACCGAAGTCGGTCGACATGATTCCCACGGGCCGACCTTTGGCGAAGCGGCCCGCACACAGCCAAAACACCATGCCAACTTGCACAGTGTTGGGGGTATCTGTCTTGCCTCCACCCGCCCAGCTTCAGGCCAGCGCTCTTCAATATTTAGCTTGTGACTACTGCCGCTTTACAATTATGCCACAAATAGGAACGGGGTTTGATTCCCAATTCGTCAAACATTTCACGACAAGTCTCCAGGGACGGGATGTGATGAACAATCCCTCCATCTCGGGAACGAAAGTTGCCACAGCCAATGTTTGCTGTGTTTCGCAAGTGTTAAGTAAGATTTCTACAATGTCACCAAGGAGGAGTACCGACAGTTTCCTTGTTGCCACTTCATCCAGGCCCTAGGTATCGTCTAGGAGAAGAAGTGGATACGCAGCGTCGCGCGTTGTGAGCGCCGGAGGCGGGGTGGTGTTGGTCAACAGATGGCGAACGACCATCAAGTTTCTCCATATTTCTCTTCCTCCCCAATCTCACACCTTCCTGGGGTGGTAAGCACACCCCACCGCCTAGCTAGGACGTCGACCGCCCTGTCCTCCTCCACTGGCACCGGAACGAGGAAGTAGAAGGACCCCTTGCCCATAACGCCTCCCATATCTTTCACGGCAGCCCACATGGCCGATCGGCACCTTGAAAGCGATGACACCTTCGACTTGACCCAGTCGACACCACCTTTGCGATGTATAACATGGTTTAATTCCAGTTCAGAGAGGATGAGCGGAAGGGGCGGGAGGAATTTAATTTCGTGGTGTTTTCCGTGGAAATCCATATTTCCATGGCCCCTTGGCAGTATGCCCGTCAACTACCACCGCTGAAGTGCCAGTGTATCTTCCTCGAGTTTTCTCCCCCTGTCTCTGTCGAAACACTTTTCTGATATCCATTCCCCGCCGCCGTCAGGAGCACACCAGCCCCCTCGGATAAACAAGAAACGGACAGCATAATCCACACGACGTTAGGCACGACATCCCCGCGTGCTACAGCGGCAGCAACCGGGAAACGTTGGAACCGAACCGAAGTTACAGACACCTTCCAGTGCGGCGAGGGCGATCTTTTGGCTCCCCGTGCAGGCGTGCGTCGGCAGGGTGTCTTGCACCTTGACCATCTCCTTGCTCGCCCAAGACGGGTAAACCGCGTAACCCACTCGCCACCCGGCCAGCCCGAACGACTTGGACATGGTGAACAGGTGGATAACGTTGTCGGGGCAGCCGAGGCTGTTGCCACAAGGGCTGAAGTGCCTGGAGAAGAAGAACGGATCGAACAGGCGGGGGTGTGGTGATTCGTAATGTGGCAACACTGTGGGGGTCCCCACATAAGGGTTGAGAGATGGTGGGAGAATGATGGGAGGGGTGGGACTGGGCTCCAGGCCCAATAACACGAGCCCAACGTCGGGCAAGGGGTGTGGCCTCCGAAATACAAGAGGATGGAGTTTTGGACGAGGGATGGCCTGACATGATGTTGTCGTTCGGATGACTTTGCTTGTTGTGGCGTCAGAGGGAACAAAGATTGCCCGGGGCGACTTGGTCGAGCCAACTTTCTCACCACCAACCTTGACGACAAGGACAGAGCGACTTTGCAACTACAACAGACTAGTCGATCCCCGCCAGCAAACCTGAGAATGTTGCCAGAAGGGAAATATTGCAACGACACTAGCCGCGCGTTCCACAAGCCTGGAGCATCGCCGTCGCGCTGACCCACGCAAAACGGTGCTTCCTCACATTGAAACTGCGCTTACTTTGCCCGCAGGTCCCGTTCCCCACCTCTCGCCGTCGTGTAGAAAGTGTTCGTAGGCCTCATCGACCACCAGCCAGGCGTTGTTCTCCCCGCAAAGCCGCGTAATCTCTTCCATGGTCTCCCGGGGGCACACTGCCCCCGAAGGGTTCCCTTTTGTGCGTGTAGATGTTGTCGGGAGAGACGAAAGCGGTAGGGAAAATCGAATCATGGTAACTGTAGCGTTGTCGGCGGAATGAATATGCTTTGCCTCAAGGGTTCTTCGTCTTCAAGCAGGCACCAAGCCTCGGGAGCGAGCGAGCGATCGACCTTTGTTTCAAGCCTACCGATGAAGGTCGACACAGAGCAGTTGGAGAAGAAGCAAAGGGTGGCTAGCGACTGAGCAGTTCTTCTAGTGTTACCGATAGTGCCTGTACATGCTCTACATACCGGTATTGCTCATGTACAACAGCTGTCACCACAGCAGTGCGGCACAAATCATGAAAAACACCCGGTGGCTCACCTGGCGTTGTGATGACCACCATCTTGACACCTCGCTGCACCTCCCGTCGAAGCTGCTCCATGTCCGGCAACAGCGTCGAAGTATCCCAGTCGCACTCCACCAGTGTGCCCCCCGCGAGCTGAACGGCGCACTGGTGCGCGCAGTAGAACGGACGTGCCTGCGGAAAATCGTGGATGACAACGTTCGCATCTCAACCAAAAGGTTTCGAAAGGAGTGTGCGAAACACCACATACTACGGCCATGAGCGCATTCGCGTACGGCGCGCACACGTTTGTCCCCTACGGTGAGACGGCGTAAAAACAGAGTGGGGGGGGGGGGGG